TTGTTATGTTGACTACACACTGGCTAAAATTGCAACCACTGCTTTCTGCCCGCTCTATAGCAGATATCCTGCTACAGGGTGGCACAAAAGGGGCGCGCACGCCCTTGCTGTGCTGCCTTTCGTGGCCTCGGCTGTCAATCCCCCCGCTGATTCACAAGCATCTCCGATCCGATAGGGAGGAGGACTGTATGTTAACAATACAGTTCTTCTACGTGCCAGCTCGTGCACATTGCTTTGAATGGATGTACCCAGCACAGCCTTCCAAAGCAATGTCCTTACAGTGAAGACAGCATAGAGTAAAACCGCACACAGTTAACCCTAAGATTGCCCCACATGTTAACCCCTTCCTGCCCAAGCCATTAGTACAGTGACAGTGCTCTTTTTTAGCACTGATCACTGTATTGGTGTCACTGGGGATGTCAGGGACACCAAGTTAGTTCCCCCCAGTGGCAGAATACCCACTATAAGTCACAGATTGCCACCATTGCTAATAAAACAAAAAGTATATAAAAAAAAGTATATGTTCTGCCATTTGTAGATACTAGAACTTTAACAGCAAACAATTTACATGTATTGGGATTTGTGGGAGCAAAGACATGGAGCAGAATACATTTTGCACTACAGAAATGGACAATGGAAATTTTATAGTCCAAAAATATTTTTTTTTTCTCAAAGTGTCGGTCTTTTTTTGTAGCTAGCGCAAAAAATTAAAAAAGCCACAGGCCAGCAAATAACTCCAAAGGAAAGCTCAATTCGTTGAATAAAAAGGATGTAAATTTAATTTGGGTGTAACGTTGCATGACCACACAATTGCCAGTTAAAGTAACTCAGAATGTATATGTAATAAATGGCCTGGTCAGGAAGGGGGCGGGGGGAAACCTCAGGATGGCAAGTCTAACATCTGTGTGCATGTGAGGGAGAGCCCTCAAAGTTGCCATCTAGTACTGTTGTGAGGCAACAAGCAAATCAATTGACACAGCAGGGTGTTTGCTACAAGGGGTCACCAACGGGAAGTCATCTCTCAAAAGGATGTTCTCTCATAAGTCCCCCCCCCCCCCCCGTGATTTATGGAGGTAGAAGAGCAGGAGTCCAGAATTCAGAGTGCTGTGAATTTACAAAGTGGCTGATTTCCTGACATCAAAAGGGGGGGCCCGATGTGGGCTGTGATGTTGCCCTGGGGCAGGAAGATTCATGTCAATATAGCGGGCCCCCCCTGGTGGAACCAATGACCTACTTCCTGGAGGGTGCAGGATGGCACAGTACTTCCTGGGGTTTGAAAGTGATGCCCCCTTCTAATTTACCAATGCCAACTCCTTGGCCAGAGAATTGAATGGGTGTTGCTTTCACGTGGTATAAATGTCATTGGCAGCCATGGCTCCTCTTACCCTCTTCTATCCATTGACCAACCAGATACTTACCAAAAAGTGTAAGTTCTGCTTTAAACGCATGTCCCCCACTCCCCATTAAGAATTGGCACCTTTGGGGAGCAAGTCCCCAAATTTGACAGGTACCCTCTCCCTGTCAGTGTGAGGTCTGGTTCAGGTACCAGTTGCTATAGCAGTGTAAGGCTTACCTGAAAGCAGCAGGATAGGTATACCAGCGGGTCACCCTGGGAATGACGCAGGCTCACCTGAGGTGCGGGGTCTAAGCACTAACCGGTTTTCACCAGAGCTCCTAGTGGTGGAGATGGATTTAGCTGCGCGTTAGTACCAGGTCACAGATCTCAGGATCACCCCACCAGGGAATGAGCAGGCCGGAATCCAATAGCAGATAGAGCAGGTAGGGATCTAGCAGAAGCGGAGTCCGTCAACAAGCCAAGAGTTGGTAACAAGCGGTAGTAGATGGGATGAGGCGAAATCCTAGTCCAGGAACAAGCCAAAGGTCAGTAGCGAAGGCATAGACATCAGCAGGCAAGCCAAGCTGGATACTGGCTGCAGAAAGCACAATAATCTGGCAACCAGGAAGTGCAGAGACATGGCTTAAATTAGGAAGTTCATTGGAGGAGCAAGGAGTTCAAGGTTCATCAGAAAACAAGGCAGGATTGTCCAATGGATTAGGCAGAGTGTTGTCCAGCATTCCAGGTAGCTCAGTGAGAAGAGTTACTGCCTGACACTAGTAGAGGTCCCAGGTTCAAGTCCAGGTCCTGACCTTCCCACTTCTGCTGCAATTGTCTACTGTGATTGGAATTGGAAGTCCCCCCCCCATAGCCCTCTGGGACACGTGACAGGTCCCCTAAGGCTACAGGACCATTCACAAAGTGCAGCGCTACTCACGTATGTGCAGTGCGCTCCCGGCTGTGAAGATGCAGAGCATTTATCTCATTTCAGTTCTCTGCAGTTCTCAGGGAAAAGTCTTCTGTCTCCTTCTGTTTATAAAGTGGAGAACATTTGTTCGCAGAAGGAGAAGAGAGGAGAAGTTTTTTCTCTGAGATCTGTGTAGAAGGGGGAGGGGCTGCATGTGATCTTGTGAAATAATTGTGTGATTACAGCTCACCTGGGTTTAACCACTTGACTTCCAGAGGATTTACCCCCCTTAATGACCAGGCCTCTTTTTGCTACTTGGCGCTGCACTAATTCAACTGATAATTGCGCGGTCATGCAATGCTGCACCCAAACAAAATATACATCCTTTTTTTCACACAAATAGAGCTTTCTTTCGGTGGTATTTGATCACCTGTGCGCTTTTTATTTTTCACGCTATAAACAAAAAAAGGCCAAAAAGTTTGAAGAAAAACGATATTTTTTACTTTCAGCTATAAAAAAATATATAGTAAACTCAAAGTTGGTTATAAATTTAGGCCAAAATTTATTCTGCTACGTTTTTAGTAAAAAAAAAAAATCCCAAAAGGTGTATATTGATTTCTTTGTGTGAAAGTTATAGTGTCTACAAACTATGGTATAGATACTGCAATTTATGCCATTTTTTTGCTATACAGCGCTGCGCTATTTAACGGACAATTGCGCAGTCATGCAATACGGTACATAAATGAAACTTACATGCTTTTTTTTTCCCACAAATTGAGCTTTCTTTCGGTGGTATTTGTGCAGTTTTTATTTTTTGCGCTATAAAAAAAAAAAAGACTGCGGCAGACATTCTGACATTGGGGGGGTACTGACTTGGGCGTCACTGACATCCCCAGTGACACCAATACAGTGATCAGTGCAAAAAAAAACACTGACACTGTACTAATGGCACTGGGGAGGAAGGGGTTAGGTTTATTATTCAGGGAAAGGGTTAACTGTGTGAGGGGAGTGTTTTACTAGGGGGCGGGGGGGTGTACTGCAGGGAACACCGCTGATCAGGAGAGAGAAACTCTTCTGTCCCGATCAGCTTCTCCTGGAGCCGTCAGGGAACTGACAGAAAGCACAGCTACTGCAGCTGTGCTCTCTGTCAGCGATGATCGCCGGGACATAGCCGATATGGACTGGCTGTGACCTGGCGACTGACATCCGCTGCTGTGATCGGCGGGACAGGTAGGGCGGCGACGCACCCCCTACCTGTTTTAAAAACACACGTTTTAAAACGTGCTTTTGCCCAGCCGTGCCGCCCTGCCACCGTATTTCTACAGTGGCTGGGCGGCATGTGGTTAAACAGTGAAACCAAAGTTACAAAGACCATTACATGAAAATAATAAGCACTGACCCCTGGTATTTTTCAATGTACATTTTGGCACATTCTTTGAGTGTATTTTGGCTCCTTTTTATTGTGCAGTTTAGCATTACTTATGTTCATTTTTAACATGCTGTATTCTTTAACACACATTTTGATGTGGGTGTTTTTATGTGCATTTTGGCGCTTTTCCAAACACACCTTTACCCTGGGTTCACACCTAAGCATTTTCTGCAGTGGTTTGCAGAAACGCAGTACAGTCCATTTAAGATGATTTCCTATGGGACATGTTCACACCTGTGCATTTTCTGGAAAGGGTCAGGGACTTATTTGAACGCCAAAAGTTGCATTTTTTTGGTTCTATAAATTTCAATAGAAACCTTGCAGAAAAGCTTGTATTGCATTTTTGCTGTGTTTTGCTTCTTATATTTAAATCTGTCTAGCAACAAGAGCAATAAAAAAAAAATGCAAAATGCATCAAACAGGCAGCAATAACGCAAGTGCAAAAACGCAATACAAAACACAATGCAGAAACAGCTCAAACGCAACCTGCATAGGTGTGAACCTAGCCTAAAGGTGGGAATACACAATTAGAAAATTGACCGATCGGTCATCCGACGACCGAGAGACGTTCTTTCGTTGGGTCGAAATCGTGCCCACATTAATCAATCTAAAACAAATCATTCGTCGGGCAATACGTAGTGTTGACATCTTCCGTACAAGTGGAAGTGATGCAGTGTGCATGTGACCTTGTAGCCCATCCGGCCAGAACAAGCGATATACACAACAATGACCAGCAATGAGTATAATATAGTTTATTACATTACCTATATACATAAATAGTGATACATAAAATCTAATATGCAGAATTCTGGTTTCATTATCTCATTAGGCCAATCTACTTTTAACATTTGGATTTTCGTTTGCGTTTAGGAAGATTCCTTGGACATAAAAATCCGAGTCATCTTCTGTTTCCGCTCATGCGTGATAGCGCTTGATAAAAAAAAAATTTCCGTACCACCGCATAGAAAAGTCGATCGTTCGTATGCGAAACAACAACATTTTTCACTGTTGTTCATCCAGATTTTTTCGTTCACAATATCTCTATCAATTAAAACATCCTGCTCATCAATGAAGAGAAAATCGTTCAATCACTGGTTCTGCAAAATATTTCTTACAATTTTCTTACCGTGTTTACGGGGCATTAGGCACTTTAACACACATTTTGGCACAGGTTATTTTAACATGCATTTTGGTGTGCTTTGTAACACACATTTTGGCACTTTTCTTAGCACATATTTTGGCACTTTTTTCAAAGTGCATTTTGATTTGTTTTTTTACGGATATTTTGGCAAACTGCACATCTGCTAGCAGGGGCAGAGTGACAACTCATGGGGCCCCCAGGCAATAGGGGATCATGGGGCCCGTGTCCTTGCCCAAACTCAAAAAAGCCTATGAAAAAGGTACCCCCTACTGACCCTGGGCCCTCGGGCAGTGCCCGAGTTTCCAAATGGTCAGTCCGCCCCGTCTGCTAGCCACTTTTGGGTGCCATTAACAAATAATGGCACCGCAAAAAATGGCATGCATTTTGCAAGTGTTTCCAGAACACACACAAAAACTGAGGTAAAAAAAAAGAGCAAAAACATTAAAAAGCACCAAAATGCACATAAAAATTTCAGCTCACATTTTTAAAAAAATGTGTTGGAAAAAAAGCAGCAAAATGTTTGTTAAAAACTTCCCCAAAATGTGCAACAAAAAGCCAAACTGAACCTTTTCTGGGGCATGGAGTGTTGTGTTTTTTCAATATGTATTTTGGTGCATTGATAGGGTATTTGTCAAATGCCAAAGTGTGTGTGTGTGTGTGTCTGTCTGTCTTCTGCCTGGCAGTACTAGGGTCGTTGGTTTGAATCCCAACCATGGCACCACCTGCCTGGAGTTTGCATGTTCTGCCTGTGTGGGTTTCCTCCCACACTCCAAAGACATGCTGGTAGGTTAATTGGATCCTGTCTAAATTGGCACATGTATGTATGAATGTGAGTTAGGGACCTTGAGGGTTAGGGACTGATGTGAATGTACAATACATATGTAAAAGCGCTGCATAAACTGATGGCACTATACAAGTACTAGATAGATAGATATACACATACAACTACTGTACACTATATATAAAACACAAATATACATATACAGTATTTTCTGGCGTATAAGACTACTTTTTATACTTAATATACGCGGGGTATAAAATGTGAACCTTGAGTTTGTTTGGGTCAAGCTGGCTGGATGTGTGGTAATACTGTACATACAGTATACCGTGCTGAGCCAAGCTGGCTCAAAACAAATGTCCCTATGACAGATTAATCTGTCAGCCCGCTGGATGTGCGGTATATACAGTATACTGCGCTGAGCCAAGCTGTTTCAAAATGTACCGGTACGTCCCTACTGTAATCAGCCCGCTGGATGCGTGTATGTACGGTAGCTGTGGCTACATACAGTACACACTGGGCCAATCACGGCGAGTGATGTATTCTACTAATGAATACAAAGCCTGCTCGGATTGGCTGAGTCAGAGAGGTGGGCTGATGATGTCACAACCTCAGCCAATCCAAGCTGACTTTGTATTCATTAGTAGAATACATCGCTCGCCGTGATTGGCTCAGCGTATACTGTATGTAGCCTCAGCTACTATACATACACACATCCAGCGGTCTGATTACCGTAGGGACGTACCGGTACGTTTTGAAACAGCTTGGCTCAGTATACTGTATATACCGCACATCCAGCGGGCTGACAGTTTAATCTGTTATAGGGACATTTGTTTTGAGCCAGCTTGGCTCAGCACGGTATTCTGTATGTATACTGGACATCCAGCGAGCTGTATATATACTGTATGTAGCCGAAGCTACCGTATTACCGCACATCCAGCGGTTACATCTGATTTGGAATTTGATCCATATGATGACTGTCTTACAAGATGTCATTCATGAACTTATGATGTCAGAGGATGGACATGAGGATTTTGAAGGATTTTAAGTACCGGTAAGTCATAACCATTTCAATTAAAAAATCTGTTTTTAAATGGTGTTACCTCGGAAGGGGGGGTAGTCTTATATGGCGAGTATAGCCCAAAACCTATGTTTTAACTGGAAAATTAGGGGGTTGTCTTATACACCCAGTCGCCTTATACGCCGGAAAATATGGTAGTTATAATTTATATCAATGTTTAACCCCGCTGGTGCTGATATTAGGAAGAAAGAAGCCTTCTTCCTCACATCACAGCAGCTTCTCATCAAGATTCTCCAGCTCTGGACTGAAGAATCTGGGATGGAGATATTTTAAAGAGATTGCCAGTGAGATCTTCAGATCTCAGCTTCATAAAACTGGCTCTCTCTGTAAGCCCTGGTTCACATATATGCAGCCGTGCGGGCCTCGTTTTGTGTGGGCACGAGAGCCCATTCATTTGAATAGTCTCCCATGCCCCGTTCCACGCAGGTAAGAAGTCCCTGCACTTCTGAAAATGCAGTCCGCACGGGAGCCTAGGTTCCCAGTATGGTTGCATTTTCTAGTGCGGGCTGCATGCCATTAGAACTAATGGCACCCACCCGCAGGTCCACATTGCTCTGTGGGGGTGGTGCAGCTACATGGATTTTCGTGCAGATCCACAATGGCAGATGTAAACCTAGCCATAAAGTGAATGACAGAAGGGTGTGTCCTATTATGAGAAGTGAAGAAAATGTTCTCCGCTCCTCACCTCAGCTTCCTAAACTGGCACACCTGAGAGATCAGCTGTGATCATCAGGATTTTGGCTGTTCTCTCTTCCTGAAATGGACATCTTATGTATTGTCGTTTAGGACGCACACCTGAGCAATACAGAATTGTTGACTGCATTGTACAGTTCCAAATTGTGCTAAAATATGCGGTGTGCTTTTGGGTGCCATTCATTGGTAATGGCACACATAATGCTGTTAGCAGACATACATTTTGGCATTTGACAAATACGCTATCAATGCAACAAAATGCATATTGAAAAAACACAACACTCCATGCCCAAAAAGGTTCAGTTTGGCTTTTTGGGGCCTTTTTTTTTTTTTATACACAATTTGGGTAGGTTTTTAACAACCATTTTGCTGCTATTTTCAACACACTTTTTTTTTTAAAATGTGAACTGAAATTTTTAGTTGCATTTTGTTGCTTTTTTAAAGTGTTTTTGGCTCATTTTTTTTACCTGAGATTTTGTGTGTGTTCTGGAAACACATGCAAAATGCATGTCATGTTTGCGGTGCTATTATTTGTTAATGGCACCAAAAGTGGATAGCAGATGTGCAGTTTGCCAAAATATGCATAAAAAACAAATCAAAATGCACTTTAAAAAACTGCAAAAATACGTGCTAACAAAAGGGCCAAAATGTGTGTTACAAACAGGGGCAGACTGACAACTCATGGGGCCCCCAGGCAATAGGGGATCATGGGACCCCTGCGTCCTTGCCCAAACTCAAAAAAAGCCTATGAAAAAGGTACCATGGGCATCTCATGGGGCCCCCTACTGACCCCGGGCCCTCGGGCTTTGCCCGAGTTTCCAAATGGTCAGTCCGCCCCTGGTTACAAACCACACCAAAATGCATGTTAAAATAACCTGTGCCAAACTGTGTTAAGTGCCTAAGGCTAGGTTCACACCTACGCAGGTTGCGTTTGAGTCGTTTCTGCATTGTGATTTGTGTTGCGTTTTTAATACATTTTTGATGTGGGGTTTTTTTTTTTTGCATTTTTTTTCATCGTTCTTGTTGCTAGGCAGATTTAAAATGCAAAAAGCAAATAGGCAGCAAAATTGCAATACATGCTTTTCTGCAGCGTTTTCATTTACGTTTTTAGAACCAAAAACACAACTTTTTTGCGTTAAAAAAAAAAACCCTGACCCTTTCCAAAAAATGTCCCTGGTGAAAACGCACAGGTGTGAACATGTCCCATAGGAAATCATCTTAAATGGACTGCACTGCGTTTCTGCCAAACGCTGCTGAAAAAATGTGGTGTGGACCTAGCAGGGGCGGACTGACCATTTGGAAACTCGGGCACTGCCCGAGGGTCCGGGGTCAGTAGGGGGCCCCATGAGATGCCCCTGGTACCTTTTTCATAGGCTTTTTTTGAGTTTGGGCAAGGACACAAGGGCCCAATGATCCCCTATTGCCCGGGGGCCCCAAGAGTTGTCAGTCCGCCCCTGGGACCTAGGGTAACTGTGTGTTTAGAAAAGTGGCAAAATGCACATAAAATAACCACCACATCAAAATGCATGTTAAAATATACAGCATGTTAAACGGCAAAATGCACGTAAATAATGATAAAATGCGCAATAAAAAGGAACCAAAATACACATTGAGGCTGGGTTCACACTTGAATGATGCAATATATCACATATGATTCACACAGGAACCACACCGCATTCCTGTGCAAATCACATGCGAATTGTGTGCGGTGCGATTGGATCCATAAATGGCTCAAATCACACGCATCCGCACCAAAAAGGTGCAGAACCTTTTTTTTTTTTTTCCGCACATGGGTGTGAATACCCATGTGATCCTATTCTGCACATTGCAGCACCGCGTTTTGTGGTCCGATTTCGTGGTGTTGTTAACATACACACCAGCAGCAGGTGGCATACACGGGGTGCGATTGTGATTCGGTCCAGAATACGCACAGAAAGCGCTGCAAATTCCGCACTGCATCAGTGTGAACCCGGAATGTGCCTTAAAAAAATACCAGTGGTCAGTGCTTATTATTTTCATGTAATGGTCTTTGTAACTTTGCTTTCACTGTTTAAACTCCAGGTGATCTGTAATCACAAATTATCTCAGGAGACCACATGCAGCCCCTCCCCCTTCTACACAGATCTCAGCTGTTCTCAGAGAAAAAAAACTTCTCTCTTCTTCTGAGAACAAATGTCCTCCGCCTCATAAACAGGGCGACAGAGGAGAAGACTTCTCCCTGAAATGAGAGAAATTATCTCTGCTTAATAAACATACACCATATTGGAAATGCAGAGTACACTGTAATGCACTGTACACGCCAATGCATTGTACTGTTTTAGTGTAAAATGCATTGTACTGTAACACATTGTACTCTAACGCACTGTACACTCTTGCATTGTACTGTTTTAGTGCAGTGCATTAGTGTAAAATGTGTTAGAGTACAATGCGCTGATGTACAGTGCGTCGGTGTACAATGCGTTAGTGTACAGTGCATTGTACTGTAATGCATTTTACACCAAGGCACTGTACACTAATATACTGTGTTAGAGTACAATGCGTTAGAGCAGGGCTTGAAAAAGCCGCTTACCAAATGTGAGGAGAAATTCCTCTGTGGCGAGCGGCTGCTCCAGATGAAGCTTGGAGTGACTGCACCTGCGCTCCAGGCCTCATTGTGAAGCCGAGTTCCAGTTTCCAACTTCCGGTTTCCGGCTTCTGCAGCACCGCCGCCAAAGGGAAAAGTACAGGAGAGGTCCGCTGTGCTCCGCTGAGAGGAGACACCCTCTCCACCACCGCGGAGGACTCGGGGGGGGGGGGGGGGGGGGACAGTAAGTACTGTATACAACATGTCATATCACTATAATGGAGTACAGGGGAGCTGGGATATACATTACTGTATACATGTCATATCACTATAATGGAGTACAGGGAGCTGGGATATACATTACTGTATACATGTCGTATCACTATAATGGAGTACAGGGGAGCTGGGATATACATTACTGTATACATGTCATATCACTATAATGGAGTACAGGGGAGCTGGGATATACATTACTGTATACATGTCGTATCACTATAATGGAATACAGGGGAAGGGGGATATACATTACTGTATACATGTCATATCAGTTTAATGGAGTACAGAAGAAGCTGGGATATACATTACTGTATACATGTCATCACTATAATGGGTACAGGGGAGCTGGGATATACATTACTGTATACATGTCCTATCACTATAATGGAATACAGGGGAGCTGGGATATACATTACTGTATACATGTCATATCACTATAATGGAGTACAGGGGAGCTCTGATATACATACTGTATACATGTCATATCACTATAATGGAGTACAGGGGAGCTCTGATATACATACTGTATACATGTCATATCACTATAATGGAGTACAGGGGAGCTGGGATATACTTTACTGTATACATGTCATATCACTATAATGGAGTACAGGGGAGCTCTGATATACATACTGTATACATGTCATATCACTATAATGGAGTACAGGGGAGCTGGGATATACATTACTGTATACATGTCATATCACTATAATGGAGTACAGGGGAGCTGGGATATACATACTGTATACATGTCATATCACTATAATGGAGTACAGGGGAGCTGGGATATACATTACTGTATACATGTCATATCACTATAATGGAGTACAGGGGAGCTGGGATATACATACTGTATACATGTCATATCACTATAATGGAGTACAGGGGAGCTCTGATATACATTACTGTATACATGTCATATCACTATAATGGAGTACAGGGGAGCTGGGATATACATTACTGTATACATGTCATATCACTATAATGGAGTACAGGGGAGCTGGGATATAAATACTGTATACATGTCATATCACTATAATGGAGTACAGGGGAGCTGGGATATACATTACTGTATACATGTCATATCACTATAATGGAGTACAGGGGAGCTGGGATATACATTACTGTATACATGTCATATCACTATAATGGAGTACAGGGGAGCTGGGATATACATTACTGTATACATGTCATATCACTATAATGGAGTACAGGGGAGCTGGGATATACATTACTGTATACATGTCGTATCACTATAATGGAGTACAGGGGAGCTGGGATATACATTACTGTATACATGTCGTATCACTATAATGGAATACAGGGGAAGGGGGATATACATTACTGTATACATGTCATATCAGTTTAATGGAGTACAGAAGAGCTGGGATATACATTACTGTATACATGTCATCACTATAATGGGGTACAGGGGAGCTGGGATATACATTACTGTATACATGTCATATCACTATAATGGAGTACAGGGGAGCTCTGATATACATACTGTATACATGTCATATCACTATAATGGAGTACAGGGGAGCTGGGATATACATACTGTATACATGTCATATCACTATAATGGAGTACAGGGGAGCTCTGGGATATACATACTGTATACATGTCATATCACTATAATGGAGTACAGGGGAGCTGGGATATACATACTGTATACATGTCATATCACTATAATGGAGTACAGGGGAGCTGGGATATACATTACTGTATACATGTCATATCACTATAATGGAGTACAGGGGAGCTGGGATATACTTTACTGTATACATGTCATATCACTATAATGGAGTACAGGGGAGCTGGGATATACATACTGTATACATGTCATATCACTATAATGGAGTACAGGGGAGCAGGGATATACATACTGTATACATGTCATATCACTATAATGAAGTACAGGGGAGCTGGGATATAAATACTGTATACATGCCCTATCACTATAATGGAGTACAGGGGAGGGGGATATACATTACTGTATACATGTCCTATCACTATAATGGAGTACAGGGGAGGGGGGATATACATTACTGTATACATGTCATATCACTATAACGGAGTACAGGGGAGGGGGATATACATTACTGTATACATGTCCTATCACTATAATGGAGTACAGGGGAGCTGGGATATACATTACTGTATACATGTCATTTCACTATAATGGAGTACAGGGGAGGTGGGATATACATTACTGTATACATGTCATATCACTATAATGGAGTACAGGGGAGGGGGATATACATTACTGTATACATGTCATTTCACTATAATGGAGTACAGGGGAGGGGGGATATACATTACTGTGTACAGTTATATTCGGACTATTTATTCTAAAGAAAAATGTAATTTCATAAGCGTTAAGGGGGGCGTGGTTTGGGGCAGGCCGGGGGCAAACCTGGGCAAGGTTGGGTGGGGCAACTGGTGGCGGGTAAGTTTTGTGATCGGCTAGTAGGTCTGGACTCGAAATTTTAACCCCTGCGTTAGAGTACAATGCACTGTACACACTCTAATGCATTGTACACCCTAACGCATTGTTCCCTCCTAGATTGTAAGCTCCAAGGAGCAGGGGCCCCTCCTATCCCTCTTGTATTGGACTGTATTGTTTACCGTTATATTGTAAGTGCTGAGCAAACTGTTGGCGCTAAATCCTGTATAATAACAATAATAATAATTGTACACTCTAACACATTGTACACTAAGGCACGGTATGTACATATATGCAATGTTTAAACATTGAAGGCCTAGCTGCTGGGATGGTTAATATCTGTGACCCATCAATACCCGCGCGCTAATGTGCAGATAAACAGGAAGTAGCGTGTGTATGCACATGTGCGCTAAATGACATGCTGCTAGGCCCCAAAAGCTGCACATTAGCTGAATCAAACTATCACATAACCTGCACATGCTATGAACATTGTTGCAATTTGCCACACTTACTCTGTAAATGAGGATCAGCTCCTCTGGCGAGAACAGTGATCTCACCATTCCTAGATGTGGTCA